TTGGTGACCAAAATAGCTTTTGTAAAGGGAAACTTTTCAAAGGACAGGCCATGTTCTTTGGAAATAGGGTCAAGGAAAGAAAATGTAACTAATTAAAAATGTATTATCAAGGCAGCTATCACTCATAGGTAACTAAAGCTTAATATCACAGTGAACTCTGGGAAATAGTAACGTATCAGTTGGTCCTATGGGGGAGGTGAGGAACCTGAGTATTTATATACCAACTCTTGCCAGTCGCTGTCCCCCATCCACTGGTCCTGGTGATGTGCTTGGCATTTCAGGTCTGCCCCATACCTTTCTTTCTTGGTATTTAGGATCAAATCCAAGACACTCCACCACAGAGATATATCCCTACCCTTTTAATGTTGTATTTTGAGGCAATGTCTCACTAAATCACTAATTTTACTAGGCTGGTCTTAAGCTTGTCATCTTTCTGCCTTAGCTTCCCACATAGCCGGGCTTACAGGCGTGTGAGCCAAAGTCCAGCTTTATCATCATCGTCGTCGTCGTCGTCGTGGTCGTCGTCGTCGTTGTTGTTTTAGAAAGTATATCTCTATGTAGCTCTGGGTGGCCTCAAACTCACTATACTGCCCCGGATTGCTTTTGGCTAAGCAGTGATCTCTTGGTTATGGAACTCAACTCATTCCAAAGTTGTATTTGAACACTGAAAAACTCAGGAACTGAACACATTTTTTCTCATAAGAAATAATGGAAAGCTGAATATTTGGTTCTCATGCCCCAAAATTACACGTATAAATTCAATTTTTCTATGACTTTAACACAGTTTGCAATGACTTTTTTAACTCTATCATGATTTTCAGTTTTCTTCTTAGCTTTACTGCTGGCATCATTAACTTTCTTTTGGAGCCATGATTATGACATTTTATGCAAATAAAGTGTAAAAAATACACAATGACGAGTGTTTTAAGGTACTAACACAACACTGTATATAGTCTGGGCAAGAGGAGCTTAGACTGAAGCCTCAGCCCTGTTGGCCCACACAGGTTTTTTCTTTATTTCTTTTCTTTCTTTCTTTCTTTCTTTCTTTCTTTCTTTCTTTCTTTCTTTCTTTCTTTCTTTCTTTCTTTCTTTCTTTCTTTCTTTTGGTGGAACTGGGGACTGAACTCAGGCCAGGGAAGCTCTTATTCCACTGAGCCATCTCCCCAGCCCCCACACAGGTTTTTTTCAAATTGGATTTTCAGTTCAACTTATTGAGCAAAGTTATGGACACCAAACACTGAGAAGATTTTATTTTGAACTTTGCTATTTGAGTAGCGGAAAGTTCCAGCTTGGAGCCCTTCAACAACCAGGAAATCACTGTATAAACTTTGGGCTTTGACTAAAGATGTTAAACAGCAAATTACACCGTTAAACAAGCTCGTAAAGAACAAACATAAGTAGTGTATGTAATGAATAAAGCTATGCCCGGCAAGGCAGGGCATGCCAATGTTTTGTACAATGTTTCCACAATTCTACATACTGTATTAGGTAAATTATTTATGCTTGGGGCGGCAAGATAGCACAGTTGATTAAGCACCTGCTTTGGCAAGCACAGGGACTGGGGTTCGATTCCCAGCACCATATGCTATGTGGGTCCAGCCCCCAGATGCACTGTGCCAGCCATGGAGACTGGGCGTGGTGGCATACGCCTGTAATCCCAGCACTGGGGAGGCTGAAAACAGGAGGATCACTATGAGTCCAAGCTGCATAATGAGGCCCTGTACTCATTTTCACATAAGGAAAAAACAATTATCTATGCTTATTCCTTCAGAGCTCTTTAAAAAATATACATTGTTTGCATTTTATTCTTCCATATTTGGTTACTGATGACAGATCAGTGAGTATTGAAATGGCTTTTTCATGATCTATGGGTAGAAAATGAAACACCTCAGGTGTGGGCATGAGAACAAGACCTCTAAGAGGCCAAGTTCTGGTGCAGTGACAAAGTCATTATCATGGGCCTGTAAACCTTTTTTTGTTTTGTTTTGTTTTATGTATTTGGTACAGGGTCTCACTATGCAGCTCAGACTCCATAGTGATCCTCCTGTCTTTGCCTCCCCAGTGCTGGGATTACAGGTGTGTGTCACTAGGCCTGGTCTTAGTGGCTGCTTGGCCTTTGAGGGGAGGCATGATATGAGGTCCCAGGGATTGAATCCGGGCTCTTGTACTTTCTTAGGCAGGCACTTACACCACTGAGCTATCTCCATGGCCCCTCAGCCTATAAACCCTTTGGTATCAATAGTATTGGAATTTGGAGTTTGACAGTGGGATCTGTACAGACTGCTGAATACCTCCCTCCAGCCAAGCCATAGGATACTTAATATTGATGATGAACTTGGTGAGACTGAGGCCAAAATCCAACCCTAACAAACAAGCCTAAGCATAAAATTCAGGTGGACAAGTGAAATCCGATCTCTCAACTATCAAATTGCTCTGCTTTTAAATTGATCCCTGTGGCTAAAATGAATGCTGAATCCTTCTAGAAGAAAAGAATCTGAACACTTGATTACACTGTAAGGAGAAAATTCTTTTAGAACTAAAGGGAGGTACTAAATGGTGTTCTGTGATCATAATTTGTTTTAATTTGTGTTTAAATTACGGGTCTGTAAGCACCACCCAGGGACTGAGTTGACAGCCATTTCTGTAATAAAGTAATAAATCACAGGGATGGTTAGGGAAGCAAGAAATACCACATTCTTGCTTTGTTCAACCAATTAAGCAATAAGCCATCTGGATCTTTTTGCTAATTACCATCAAATACAACTTACACACTTGAATTCTGCTTTTTATTTAATTATATTAATTTATCTCAGCAACTTCAAATATCCACAATGCCAATAATAAATTTCATTAAAAAATAGAAGTCTTATTTAATTTTTATTCTTCAACCACTAAAACTCTTTACAAGTTTGTCATCTGAGAATTCTTAGTTCCATCATCTCAGTCTTAGGATGTTAAGAGAATTGTTTTAAATAGATTTGAAACCAAAAAAGAGGGTGACTAAAATCTCTTTAGATAGGATGGTTCATCTAATGCTGTTCCAAGAGCAGCCTTTGGGAAGATGAGATATTCTATACTGTGCTCTATTGTTGTGGTTTGTGTAGCTGTTCCCCAAAGCCTCATGCAGTTATGGGGTGGACTTCTAGAGTTTGTGATTAATTCCTGATCCAGTTTTGCGATTATGGGTGTGAGTGCTGCTGAGATTAGGGGTGTGAGTGCTTCACCCGGCCTGGGGCAGATAGCCTGAAAGCAACATAAGGGAGACAGACTTGTTCTCTGCTGCCGTTGTTGCCACTACTCCTCCCACTTGCTCTTGATGTTTTGCTGTTTTCTGCCACCATAAACTGCTGCCCTTTGCCACATTCTGCTCTGCCGTGGAGCCAGCTGAGTATGGACTGAAACCTCCACTAACAGTGAGCTAAATAAACCTTTCCTTTCTTAATTTTGGGTGTCGAGTATTTTGTCCCAGCAACGAGAGAAAAGTAACTATGACAGAATTTGTTACAGAGAAGTGGGGTTGTTGCTATGACTAAACCTGATCATGTGGATTATAAGATTTTGGGAATGGCTTATGGGAAGAGATAGGAAAGGTTTAGAGATGTCATCTAAAGAGAAGCACTGGAACAGGTTCAGTTATTTTGTATGGGAGATTCTGGTCAGAGCTCAGAAGAACAAAAGGCTGATAGAAATTCTACTTGTAAGGACCAGACTGGAGAGGTTTCCACTGGGAAGGACTGCACAGGTTGTTGAACTCCAGATGATGTGTTATGGCTTGGCAGAAAGTTTGTCTACATTTTGCTTATGTCCAGAGACTTTGCCTGAGACTGAGATTAAGCATGACAGACTGCTTAATCTTGCAAGTGAAATTTCAAAGCAGTTGAACATTGAGGCAGTAATGTGGCTATTGTTGTGGGCTTTTAGCCAGATTTATATTGAGAATCAAGAGCAAAGAACCCAGCAGGATGATTTAAAATATTGTGAGTTTGGCCAGAAAAGAAGTACCAATAAAGCTGTGGACTACAAAGATAGAGCTGAGAGTATCTCCATTGCTGGGAAGGAACAAGAGAATGGAAAGGATGGCCTGAGGGCATCACTGGAGGCAGCAGGTCTCCGCCTTTTGCAGCCTCAGAACTACAAAGGTGAGGGACTTTGTTTTGGAGAGAAAGCTTCAGATCACCATGTTTCAGAATGGCAGTGGCAGTCACAACAGGTTCCAGAATGGTGCTGGCATAGAAAATTTGTTCCTCAAAATCAAGTTCAGTGTGCTCAGAAATCCAGGCACTTGACCCCTACAACCAAGAGAGAAGGAAGCCTGGCTATTTCTCCAGTTGGCAGCAGACCTAAATAAACGTTTCCTTCCTTATGAATACATCATTATGATAGTTATTATTTGGAGAACCATACTTTCTACCTAGTTGTTGAAAGATAACTGTATTCTGAGACAGCACAAAGGAGATCAACATCTTTAAGAGGATGTTTGTAAGCTTATTATATACAGAACTAAATCCATCTGGAAGAGAAATGGGCATGACCATTATATTCTCAATAGCAGAATCAATACCACTGGACAACTCTATGGCCAATGAGGTGGGCCAGACCACAAGGGGAACCATTCATCTCTAGCTGGCTTTGGTTCTTCTCTGATTAAAGCCAATTTTTCCTGAACTTGGGAACACTCAACTTGGAGACACAGTATGGGCCCACAGGTGGCCCTACCTGATCTCACAGACATTACTACCTCTCATGGTTGTTACCTTGTGTCCACTTGAGAAGTTTAGAAGGTTAACTAGGTGAGGGAATCAGGGAGCTTACTTTGTAAACATCCTAAGCCTGGACAAGAGGAAGGTGCAGAGGGCAGCCTGCATACACTATAAGGGAGGAGAAGAGGCTTGCTCTTACCCCTTTTGCTCTTGTTGCTGCCACGAACTGTTGCCCCTGTGTCATGCCACCTGCCTTGGAGCCAGCTGATTATGGACTGAAACCTCCACAAACTGTGAGCTAAATAAACTTTTCCTCCCATAATTTTGGGTGTTGGGCGTTTTGTCTCAGCAAAATGAGAGAAAAGTAACTAAAACAACACCCAATCCAGTTTTCTCTCAGAATGGCTCTCAATCTGGTATCTCCCTTAAAAAGGTTATTTCTTGATTATTCACTGCAAATGCTGTAACAGATTAGCATGAAAGTCTGTTAACTGTAAATGCCTTTGTTAATGAGAATGCTCAATCTGGTAGATCCTGTCAACAGCCAGTGACTAATGAGAAATCTATGGCAAGGGAATCTGGTTATGATTAACCAAGCTAGAGAGGCATGAGGCCAGGTGAGTGGAAGTGGAAAGTTTTGAGGAAATTCTCGTTAAGGTGAGATTGTCATCCCAAGTCTACTGATTCTTCAGCTGGCTAGGTAGAGCTGGAGAGTTGGACCAATATTTCCCTTATCTTATCTCTAAATGCTTTCTGTATCTTCTCTTCCTTTGAGATGTGGTTCATTTAATGAGCATGAAATTCATCCTAATAAAACTATTCCAAAGTTTTGGGTATGTCACACTATTGCATTCTCTTCATGGTTGGCTATACAGACAATTCAGGTTAAGGCTCCTTGAAAATATTCATCCATTGGATTGATGTGTCCTGGAGATGCTACCAGACAATATCCAGACCTCCTCTTGTCAGAGATAAAAGTAACTGTTAACTGTTTGGTGGAAAAATTAAAGATCTTCTGTGCTATATGATGATCATCTTTGATGATGAAAAAATAAAGAAATGAATCAGTTTTCATTTTTTTCTTTAAAGCAGCCAGCAGTCAATGAAATAAACAGTGAGAAGAAGAGGCATCCCACATGCTTTCACAGAACTTTCTTCCCACTAAACCAGGAGCACACACACGGAAGTGTCTGCTTGAAGAAATGTAAGTGCTCTTTAACTCTCTGGGGCAGAACTGCGGTAAGCAAAATCCTCTTTTCCTTCTGACGTTGGGATTCATTGTTCATCCACAGGGTGGACTTCATCAAATTGCCACAGCTGGCTGGCTTTTCCATCACACTGACTCAAGAACAACTCCTTACTGTTCTGTTGAGCCATAGCTTCCATGCATTTTCCGGAAAGAATGTGGACAATCATTCCATTCTGAAAAGGGACAAGGGGAAACATAAAAGAATGAGATAAAAAGAAAGAAAGAAAAAGAAGGAAGGGAGGAAGGAAGAAAGAAAGAAGAAAGAAAGAAAGAAAGAAAGAAAGAAAGAAAGAAAGAAAGAAAGAAAGAAAGAAAGGCCAGGACAGTTCCAAAAGTTAGCAAAGATGGATGTTTTTAAGATTTGTGTTGATTGTTAAAACTATCACAGAGGTGATATGAAAGGTCCTGGAAAAGAATAGTAGCATTTTGGGTTAATATAAAATATAATTTAAATAGCCCTAAAACCTGTTTGTCACTCAAATGTTGAAGATCAATAACACAGTTACCTTTATTGCAGTTGCATAACTGTGAATTTTCTTAGAAGTTTTGGTTAGGATAATTCTAGGGAAAGAGAATATTTAGTCTTTATGCTTTATTTGCAACAATTTATTGTTATCATTTTACTTGTAAATTTTTGCTTTCAAAAACGATTTAGTGGGCTGTATCTCTA